GGGGGGGGGGCGGGCGTGCTGCCCCACTGTGCCTAAGCCCCCCCCCCCCCTGGAGGTCCCTGGGGATGGCGGTGCAGCCCTGACAGTCGGGGGTTCGGGGGAGAAGGAGGCCTGTGAGTGCTCTTAATGGTTAAATGAGAAATGCATTGTTACCAAAAAGGCATTTTCATTGCACCTCCTGACACCCAGTTGCTGGAGAGGGGCCAGCGTCCCAGCACAGCCAGCGTCCCAGCACTCCACACCAGGCTAGGGACCCGAGTCAGCCTGGACTCGGGAAATAGCACCCACAGCCAGGCCCGTCCCTCCCACCCAGGGATGGGAGACAGCCCGGAGCCCAGGCATGGCTGCTATTCAGGGTGCCAGGCCCCTCCTCTCTAAGACACACGGGGCACCCCATGGCAGCCCAGCACCCCGAGGATGTGCTGCGGCACGTCAGGGACGGGGCTGGCACAGTCCATGCCTCTCCGAGCTTCGTCTCTCATACCTGACCCCCCGTGCCAGGACCAGGCGCAGGAGGCACTGCCCGGCACAGCACACCTTGGACTTGGGGCAATCTCTCAGACAGACCGGCCAGAGACACAGCCGAGTCACGTCCAGAGGTATCACCTCACTGTGACCTAAAAATAACTAATTAAAACAACCAGGGCAGAGAGACAAGAGCCCTGGGGAACCGTCTCTCCTGCAGCTCTCTCCACAGCCCCTGGGAACAACCTGGCCTTTTGTGCCGGCAAGACCCTCAGTGTGTGGGACACTGCCTGCAGGCACAGCACGGGGAGCCCTGCGGCACCAAAGCGCCTGCCAGCAGAGCGGTCCCTCGCTGCACCCCGGCCCCTCTCAAGCTGCAGCTCTGCATCATCCAGGGCTGCAGCGCTGCTCATCACCTCTCCACCTTCCTCTCCAGGCAAGGAGGGCAGGCGGATGCCGGAGAGGGGAGAGCAAAACAAAGCAGAAAGCCCCTGCAGGGAAGGAGGCAGAGCAGGAGCCATCACCGCTGGCAGCAGAGAGCTTGAAACAAAAAAGTACAATCGTTTCATCAGGCTAAATTTGGAGCGCGAGTCCCTCCCTCTGCACTCTGCGGAGCCCAGCCAGGGAGAGTCGCACAGCCCTGGAGCAGCTCCAAGGCTGGCGCTGGCGGAGACACAAGCGAGCGACAGGCCCGGAGCCCCATTCAGCCTCTGGTGGAAACCCCCTCCCGCACACCCCTCCGCAGCGGTCCTGCGAACAGCGTGCCGAGGAGCACAGGCAGGCGGAAGGCAGCAAAGCCGTGACGGTCCAGCCCCTGCTACGAGGCTTGGAAGGGCTGGCAAGCTGTCTGGGGAGAGATGGGCAGGAGGACAAAAGGGGCAGAGCAGCTTCCCGCACCCCTGGTTGCCTCTTGCACAGAGTAGCGCCGGAGGACACACTCTGCACCCCCTTCCCAGAGAGCATCCGAGCTCCTTGCTGGAGCACAGAGCTCGCACCAGCGCTAGCAGCGCTGCTGGGACACGGCAGCCTCCTGGTTTTCTCCGAGAGGAGCGAAACATCGATGGGAAGTTGGTCACCCTGCTCTGCCCATCTTCATTCTGTACCTGCCCCACCAGACCTCTCCACCTTCTGGCAAGAGCTGTGTTTTATACCACAGCACAGCCTCTGCGAGGCGCGTGGCTGGCTGATGGTGGAGAGCACTGGGACATCGCTGCTCCGGGAGGCGGAAATGCTCCAGCCTGGCTCTTTCCCAAGCACTGCTCACCCTCAGCACAACGGCCGCCAGCACGGTCCTGGTTATCAGAGGGTGCTCACCACCGCTGGAAGCTGGGTCCTGGCTCCAGCGGCAGAGGCAAGAGCAGGACAAGAGCAGTCTCTGCCCAGGAGCCACTGCTCTGCGGGGCTGTTGAGAGATCATTCCCTGAGCAAGGAAATGCAGCTACTCAGCCCAAACCAGGAACGAGGGGAAGAAGCGGAGGAAGCAGGGGGAAGCTCGCCAAGCCTAGCAGCGCTCGTTCCCAGCGCTCTCTGGTCCCCTGGCTATTGCAGCCATCACCGTGACAGCACTTGTACCCTGGGCCTTCAGCTACTGCTGCTGACTCCTGCTGCCACCCAGGACCCAACCCCCTGTCCTCAGCCCAACGCAGACATGGGGAGGGATGAGCTCAGCCCCGAGAGCTTCCCCTCCTGCTACAGACCAGGCTCCCACCGCTTCCTCAGCACGTGCCCGGCTCTGACAGCACACAGCGAGTCCTGCGGGCCTGGCAGGTCAGCAGCAAGGCTTGGCTGACTGGAGCCAAGGGAGAAAGTGTGTGCCTAGCCACGCTGGCACTGAAGGGACACTGGGGACAGGCTGCTGAGGACACCTCCCACCTCCCTTCAGGGCTGTGCAGGCTGTTTTTATAAAAGAAAGTTACTCCCACGGGGTTCTTTGCACACAGCAGAGGAGCTTGTGGGCTCTCCTGTTCGAGCACTGCTCTGCTGAGCTCACCGCACCAACAGATCCCATACAGCCCAGTGAGCACCTCCCCACGCTCAGGGTCTCCTAGGTCAGCCCGTCAGGAGATCAGGGTGAGACCCTCACCACCACGGCCCCTGGCTCTCACCTGGTACAGGAATCTTTGGCTGAACTGCTGCATGGCTCCTTGGAGCTGGTTTCGCTGGGACTGCCACTGCTCATAGTTCCTGACGTACTCGGCCGTGGGGCGCTGCCACGTGGTGGTCCGGGTGTTGTGGTCCACATAGTAATACCTGCCTCGAGGATCCACGCGTTTCTCCCACCTGGAAACACCAGAGGAAGATGTCACTGTCCTCAGACAGCTCAGCGGGTCCTGCTGGCAGGTGCCTACAGCTGCGGTGCAGCAATTCAGCACAAATACTGGTGTGAAGGCAGCAGAAGGTCAGGAGGCACAGCAGAAGGCACAGACCACGGTCCTACACCAAGGAACTTTCCATTGCCCTCATCTAAGGGCTGTCCCCAGGGCCCTGGACACAGAGCAGCAGCTTGAGAATAGCCAGCTGCTGCCCCAGAACATTTTGAAAGCACGACTGAGAGGAGCACTGGGTTGTGAGCCCCTTCCCCGGTTGCCACACTCCCCTTGTGCCCCCATGCAGCGGCTCAGCAGAAGATTTGTGCTCAAGTTCTACCTCTCAGAAACGCAGGTGAGAAAAGCAGCTCATAGTCTTCCAAGGGAGGAAGAGCCGAGAGCTGCCGGGGCCCAAGGATCCAGCTATGAAGACCATGATTTTTCATTTCACTCTGACACTACAGGCTGACTTCAGACACTTGCTCTCTGGCGCTTCTCACAAGACTAAGACACCCTTTAACACAAGGTCTCCATTCCCAGCTCCAGCATAACCAGCAGTTTTACAGCTCAAGGGGCTCTTCTGGACAAAGATCCACCACAAGGAAATACAAAAGACTACCAAGACTTGAAGCACCCCCCCTGCAAGGGCACACGAAGCCTAGATGGGATGCCTGGACACTAGCAGAGTTCACACCAGGATGCCGTGAGCGTTCCTCCAAGACAGCCAACCTCCGGCAGAAGCGAGGCACTGGGTTGGAGACCTGAGCAAGAGGGAAGGAGGGCACCTGGGGTACTTCCAAATCTACCTGTCCAGATAACAGCCTCCCTCCTTTAAAAACAGACAGATTTCAAGCTGTTTTAGGATCAGAAAGCGGCTGCAAAGATCACAGCTTAACTGAAGGCAGTGTGTGCCCACAGGAACCTGGAGGCTCCCGTGGAGGATAACAGGGTAGGCTTGTATTTCACTTTCACATATTACACTGGCAGTTAAAGCACACTTCAGTCATTCCAGCCTTGAACAAACTCAGTCTAGAGAACAACAACAAGCTGTATCGAGTTCTCTGCTTTTAGGAGCACAAAGAGGTGAGAATTCAACAAGTTTCTGGAAAGCACATGGCCCCCAGGGCTGTGTACAGCCTTTATGACCTGAAGACTTCACTCCCACACGTGAAATCATGGCCCTCCTGGGCATGAGTTTGGCAGAATGCTTCCTACAGGTCTCATGGGAGCTGAGCAGCATCATCTTCTTGAGCACAAGCAGACCCCAATGTGGCTGAGAACATAGGAGGCCCCTCTGAGAGAGTCCAGGGTTCAGCTCCAGGTTTGGGGCACTCTGAGCGTGTTCGTTTCTGCTCACCAGGAGCTCAGCCCTCATCTAGAAGCATCTGTTTTTCCAGGTGACATGAAGCCCACCCTCTCCCTTCTCCTGGTCCTTGGGAGGACCTTGCTGGTGCCCCATCCCAAAGGCCCACCCCCCTGCTCTGCCCACAAATGGCTGGACTGCTGCTCAAGCAATCAGCAATTTCCGTGGGCTGTTTAAAAAATAATCCTCTAGCAGAGGTCAAAAAGCAACACGTTGGAAGGCCTTTTCCTCTTTATAAACACTGAAAAGACCTTTCTGAAGATACAGCGTGCGCTTTCAGGCCAGCGAACACTTGGTCATCTCATCTCATTTCTTTTTAGGAATGAAAAGACCTTCCTGCCACTAACCCAGCTCTCCCCTTCTGCGCAGACTCCCGTGTGTCTGCTACAAGTTAGTTCAGTATGTGAGATGCCGACTGCCCCCAGAGCTCCTTACCCTGGAGGAAGAGGTCTTTCCCACGTGGTGGTCTTGTTGTTATGGTCTACATAGTAGACTCTACCATTAGGCAGCTCTCGCTGTTCCCACCTGCAAGGAAAAGAAAGAAAACCAAAAAAAAAGTCAGGAGACAGTTGATACTTGCTAGCACAGAGACCGATCCCTGGCCAAGGTGGAGCTACCAAAGGAAACTGCCTTCCACAATGCCAGCCACAGCAGTGTCCCTCTTGCTGCAGGGCTCCCCGGGCGCCTGTCCCCACCGTGCGTTGGTCCATGGCCAGCTGGGGAGAGCAGCACCGCTCAGGAGAGGCCGTGGAGGAACCCTGATGCAGACGAGATGGTGCCTGTCCTCTCCTCAAACACAGAGGTGAAGCCAAGGGGGTCAGCTGGAACAAGCAACGTGGATCCAGCATCCGCAGGGCAGCGAGAGCCAGAGCTCTGCGACACGTAGGACCAAGACACTTTGCAGGCACCTTTGTCTACTTTAAACCATGCCCGAACAGCCTCCCTAGGAAAACTGTTTGCATAGGCTCAGACTGCAGCTGTGCAGCCCTGCCTCCCCCGCAGACCAGTGAGCTGTGAATAATTAATAATCAACTTATTACCAAGAATGTCCAGAGAGCTGCATCTGCTGGATTAGCGAGCCCACCTCCTCGTATTGCTTAGCTACGGTGTGCTAACCTTTATTTAAAATAGACAGCAGATCTACGTGGCAGTTGTTTGGCTTGCTAAATCGAGACTATCGGAGAGGTGCTGCAGCAATCTCTTTTCAGAAAAACACAGCCATAATTTGGAGCATAAATTCCTAATTTCCTCCAGAAAGTAGGAGGGTTGGTGTAAAATTTCACACAGGGTCATTTGTATGCCCTGTGAGTTTTTGATGTAGTTTTTGTTTGGTTTCTCTTAATACATCTTTAAAGGGAAGCCTTTGAGTTTGGGCTGAGGCTGAATTTTCTCCTTGGCAGCCCTCCTGCTCGCTGCTGACAGATACCGCTTAAAAACTTCGCGTGGCCACAAGGCACAAGGTTTGGAGGTGGCCCCTGAGGGGAGCCGGTGCGATAGGGAGGCCTGGCTTCACACGGCTACACTGAAAACCATTCTTTGCCTTAATTCATTCATGAAAGTGTATGCCCTGGCAAAGGTAAAAGCTCCGTGGAGCACTGTGCTTTCCTGTCAGCTTTTATTCTGCAACAGAGAGAGGAGAGCCGGCAGCTGCTGACAGATAAAGTGTTCTCCTGATACACTTCTGCTCCCACAGGTCTCCCTCCCAATTCAATCTTTGGTCTCAACTAATCATCACAAAAAGCCCTAGAAATTAATATACCAGTTTCTGTCGTGACAGCAAGGGAACAAATCTGGGCTTGCAGAAAGCAAGAAGCCCTTGTGGAAGAGACACAAAGAGCCAATGCCCCATCGCCCGGGCTCACACTGTCTCTGCTCACCTTCAAACCTCCCCAGGGCACGATGAAGCCACCAAACAGTGACCTCAGCCACAACCACACACCTGCTGCGACCACAGGTCCATGTACATAACAGCCTTGACACCACATTCGAAAGAGGTGGGAAGGCAGAAACGGGGAGAGCTTCAGCGGCGTTCCCAAGCCCTGTCAGCGTGCCGTCAGCTGGGGACCCCACCGGTCCAGCAGCCATGCCGGCAGCCTGAAAAATCTCTGTCCTGGGCAGAAGGCAAGCTTGTACTCCAAGATAAGAGTCGGTTCCCCAAAAGAAGGAAGCGAACATGAATGCCAGGCTCAGCACTTAGCCAAGAGATTGTCTCACCCAAATCAGAGCTGTTGGCTTTGCTCCTATGGGCTTCTCAAAAGCAGTGCCAACTTAACGCATCTGCAGAGAGCAGGTAACCTGCAGATAAAAGCTACCAGTCAGCAGCACTGGATCTTTCTCATCCCTAGAACAGATCTAGGGACACCAGCGGTTATCCCTGATGGAAAGAGTCCAAGGCGGGACATACTGTGCCTGTACACCTTTGACAGCAAGGGGCTGCCAAGCGTAACGCTGCCCAAAGGAGCGACCACGTGAGAGCAGAGCTGGCACTACCTGGTGCTGTTCGGGGATCAGGAAGTCTCTCTGTCTCTTCACCAAATGCTCAGCCCTTTTCCTGGGTTACCCCTGGGCAGCACTGGGCATTGTTAGAGGGGAAACACCTGAAGTTTCCTGCTCACTAACGACAAACTCAGTGCTTCATGAGCATAAAAGCACCAGGACAGCTTAAAAAAAAAAAAGAGATTGACATCTCTAAAGAGAAAATCAGCATAGCTGGGATTTCTTGAAGACACAAGCATGTCCAGTCCATGAGGTGGACAGCAGAAGGTTCCTGAGCATCTTCAGGGAGAAGGCAGGGCTGTGGAAGTGCTGCCAGCTGGAGAGCGGTCCACTGCAGGCAGAGCTTCGGGAAGCCCCTTTCTAGACTTGCACTGCAGGCACTTCACATCATCACCACCCACCAGATAAAGACCCAGCACAAGGCTCAGGTGGGGGAATGCTATTCACAAACAAAACTCCAAGGCACAACTCCGCTCTTGAGACTTTGCAGGAGTCAGCATCCCATGGAAACCCTTTAAACATCATCTTTCCAAGATCAGTTGTACGTAAGGGCCTCCTTCAAGCGGATCTAGGAACTGCAGCACCACCCGCTTACAGGGTGCAGGACAACCCCAGCCAGGCACCCCACCCATTGTGTCCACACTGACACGCAGCGCTTCAGAGATGAACAGGACCTCATCCCCACGCACACCGAACCAGTGGTGCCAGCAGTCATTATGAGAGGGGACAAGTCCTCCAAATTCATTAATAACAGATTCACAAGATGATTTATGTTATGGCTCTGAGGACTTAGAAGTCCTTTACAACAAGAGGCTCTCAAGCCCTCAAATACCATTTCTGTGGCTGTAGAGACCAAAAATCCCACAAGGGACTCCACCAGAGAGAGGGTTTCTGGATCTCTCAGATAGTATTCTGGGTGCCCTTGTGACTGCAAACAGCCACGCAGGATTACGGAGAGCTGCTGGTGGTGGCAGCTACTGACTGATGTCCTCTATCCCCATCTCACGCCCTATGCAAACACGTGACAAGCTCACATGCTCCTCAGGTCAGCAGCTCTCTGGCAATTGAAAAGTAAATTTGCTGAGGACTGCCTTGCCCTACGAACAGCAAATCACTGCCATTAAACAGCAAGCTGTGACAAACTTATTACTGCTGACGCACAGCAATAACCTCAGAAACAGGGGCACTGGGGGCAACCCATCCTTGCTCAGACCACCTTACCCAGCTCTTCACAGGCTTCCCTGCATCCCATCTGCCATCCCACAAGCGACACAGCTCAGCGAGATGCATGACAACAGGCTCTTCCTCTGGGGACCTTAAGTCCAGCCAGCATTCCTCCTCTGTGCCTGCTGCCACATCACCACCAGCAAAGAAGATCAGTGTTTTAGCAAATGCTAGATGGTGGCAGCTCTCACCCACGTGCACAACTGCTGCAAGCATGAAGCGCACGACGCGTCGGCCCCCGCTATCTCTGCTCCGACTGTCCACAAGGCTTGCGGCAGCGGTGGATACCGGGAGCCATGGATGGTGCGAAGTGGCAGTGCTGAGGCAACCCTGCAGTCCAAACAAAACGCCCTCCTTATGTAAGAAACCACAGCCCCACGCCTTCTGCCAGGCAGCATAATGTGCCTCTTTGTACGGGTGAGACAGCGCTGTGTATACACACTGCGCTAAGCACCGTCTGTCCCCCGTGCAGGATCATCACTGATAGGAACCAGATGCAGGAGCCAGCAGCTCTTGTGCCCTACCCCCCCCCTTTCGCTATCGGTCCGCTTGGAAACCCCTAGGTGAGAACCAGGACCCCGTGCTGCGACCGGCTGCTCCTGTGCCACACACGCTCCCCGGCTTCGCAAGGAAACACGCTCTGCCCAAGCCAGGAGGATGTGAAGGAGGTTCTGGGCACTGTCGGGGTTGGAATTATTCAGAACACCTTCCAGCACCCTCCAACCCCTAGAACAGACTCCTGGTTGTGAGAGAGATGCCTTTGTGCCCACCACATCTGGTGCAGATGTTCAGGGACAGCTATCTGAGCAGAATAAATAGCTCTGAATCCCCACATGAACCCAGCCACTCTCGACCCCATCTGCCAGCAGCCCGGCACGAGCAGGGAGGCTGGGGCTCAGCGCACCCACCAGCACGGGAAAGCTGCCACCCCTCCAGAGACCAAAGGGAAGCCGAGCGTGAGTGATCTCCACGCTCCCGCAGGTGAAAGGAAACACCCTGAGAATGAAGCAGGGCTCCTACAGAAAGCAGGAGGGACACGATGGCTTTCCAGCTCTTCAGCGCAGGAGTGACTGGCAGCTCTGCAGGGGACATCGCTCCTGTGAGCGGCAAAGAAAGAGGGATCACTCACGGGCTCCACAGTGCTCTCTGCACAGCCATCCTGGCAAGAGCCAGGCCAGCAAGGGGCTACCCTGCACCATGTTCTGCAGAACACGCTGCTGCCAGAGCCGAAGCAGCCTGGTTTTGTCTGCATCCCTTCTGCCTGAGACATCACTGCCTCCACCAGCCCAGCCAGCCGCATCCCCATCTCCCAAGGTGGGCCCCAAACCACTGCTGAATGCAATACCCTGGTGTTGTAAGCCAGCCAAAAATCAGCCACCCTAGATCAGGGCTCAAGAGATCCCCAGAAGCTCATTTATACCACCCCAGCGTCACAGTGTTTTGTGCAATCCCCGTTTAGCAAATCCCTGTTTGTGCAGATCCCTGTTAGCCCAGAACCCGGTCTGGCAGCTCTCAGGGCAGTGCTCACACTGTGGAGACCTCAATAGACTCAATTCTCCGCTCTCCTTCACCTGGGAAGACCTTGATACTTGGTCTCCACCCGACTGAGCAGGTCAGCTGCTACCCAAGCCAGCCCAGCACGAGCACTTAACTTGGACAGCACAGGGAAGAGGGTTCCTGCTCTCTTTCTCCCCTACAGATCCTACGGTGAGGACAGGGAGGGACAGATACACAAGGTGCTAATCAAAGGTGTCTCCAGAGATCCGCATTCCGTAAGCTCAGCCTGGAGGGTGGCTCACTACCCCTTCACTGCTCTTCTCCAGCCATCTCCCGAAGCACAACAGCTTTATCCTCCTCCCCACGCTGACACGCATGATTTTCTGGTGTGTGAGCACCGCAGGTAGACAGGCACAGAGAGGACATGGGGCCACCCTTCCACCTGGCTGGACCAGGTAAATGCAAGTCTGGCGTGTCTTAGAAAGCAGCGCTTGTAACCTCCCCAAGTCTCCGGAAACCCTAATCGTGAGATACCCGTGAGCTCCTCTCCGCCTTGGGAAGAAACAACAGCCTGTTTCCACCTCGGGCTGCGCAGAGGTGGGGAAAAGGAGACCTTCAGTCTACCTGGTAGGAGCAGAAAGGAGCACAAGCTCTGGCTGGAATAAAGACCTTTTTCAGAGCACTGGACTTTTCCAGCTGCCTGGAAACAGGAAGCGCCCAGGCGGGAGAACAGAAACCCTCACACACCCCGCATAAAGGCACACTGAGCCGTTAACCCTAATTACCTGTGACTGACACACGAGCGAGGCCCTGACCTTCCAGGCATCGCCTCAGCCAAAGGAAAATAAACAGCTCCCTTCATACGAAACACAAGCCATTTTCAACGCCCCCTCCGCTCCCCCCCAGCTTTGCTTTTTCAGTCCAGAATTAAAGGTGTCTGAAATACGGGGGGAGAACAACCCAGCTGCAGCAGGGAGGGGGGCTGAGCCCAGAGCCTGCCCACCGCCCCCACCAAGAGCCAGCGCGCCCACCAGCACGGCTCAGCCAGCTCCAGCTCTCCTCCCAGCCATTCCCCGCATCCCACAGAGGAGAAGGAGGAGGATGCGGAGCATCCGCACCAGGGAGAACAGGCCCAGCTAATGGAGGCTCCTGCCCACCTCCCACCAGCAGTGGCCAACGCCTCCATGGTGTCTCTGGAGCGTGTGTTTGTGTCCTCCTGCGCAGTGGGAACTCCCTGGAAATACACTCACTCTCTCATGCGTTTTCCTCTGACTGATCCCTTCAGAAGCCCCAGGAGAGCAGAAGACTTTGCTGCTCCCCTGGGCATGGATGCCGAGAAGCTGTTTGCCGCAGAGATGCGATTCAGCGTTTATTACCCCAGAGACCCACAGCAGACACAGAACAGACCCCGGCCCAGAGGAGGAATCCATAGCAATCAAGCCCCGGCCAGACGGCTCAGACGAGGGAGGACAGGCTGTGTCAGGCAAACGGGGCCACAGGGCCCTAACGGGCACCCCCAGGCCCTCTCTGCTCTGCCGACCACCATCATTTCCACCAACTTGTGGTGCAGCACAGCCCCCTCCCTCAAACATCCTCTTCTTCCAGCACACAGCAGTGCCCCAGTTTGGTCGTGTCCCCCCAGACGTCCTTCCAGGGCCATGCCTCCCTCCCCGAGGACCACAGGCACTCTGTCATGTTGGTCCTGTCAGGGGAACAGAAGTCTCCAGCAGAAGGCAGAGCTTACCCGGGGGGCAGAGCATCCAGGGCCAGCATTGCTGCCCGGGCCGGTGGGGCGCTGGAACCAGAGGCTGCTTCCTCTGCCTCTCCAGAGCTGGTCAGGGCAGGAAGGGCAGGAGCAGCAGAGCTGTCAGCCGCGCTCGACGACGCCGGGGTCGCTACACTCGCTCCTGCTGTCGGCCTTTCCTCTTCAATGTCTGCAGCACCCACTACATCTCCGTTCACTGGAAAGGCAGAGGGGCAAAAATGTTAGCACCCAGGAAGGGTAATGAGGGCCCGGCTGATCTACCGCAGCCCTGGAAGCGGAGCACGTGGTGGGTGGCAGCCACTACCACCCAAGCACGGGACGCACAGTGTTCCCAGCCTGCTGCAAAGGCAGCACCACCTTCAGCCAGCTGACAGATCCCTCGGGGGAACCACTGCCACCGCCTTTGTCCTGAGACAAAAGCGGAAGGTACTTTGCATTTGCGTTCAGTATCTCTTCTGCCACTTGCAAACGTGCTGCGTGCCTGATGGGAATTCAGGTAAGGAGCAGCTCAGAAACTGTTGGTGCAGCATCCCCCAGCAATGCGGAGGGAAGCCCAGGCTCAGCAAGTCAGCTGCACTGCTAAGAGCTAAACGTTGCTAGATTCCACTGAACTTTTGGAAAGGGAAGGGGAAGGGACAGAGCAAAGGAAAATTACAAAGAAAACTGATGAGGGGGAAAATGCAGACCAAAAAAAAAAAAAGAAAGGGAATTTGTTTGACGAATATTTATTAGATAGCCAAAAAAACCCTGAGACTTGGCAGTCCAGCAGAGGATAACTCTCGCTACAAGACATCCTGGCTTCAGTGGCAAAGCAAAAGCATTAAAAACAAACCAGCAACAAGTAACAAAGAAGTAAGGGATGCAGACAGAGCTCCACAAGTTAGAGCTGCGAAACGTAGAAAACTGTAAGGCAAGTATCTGTGTCCACAAGCCCAAGTATTTAGAAATATTGTAGGAAAAAGCCTCACAACAGTATAAACCCCCACAGATGTGAGACTTAAGAACTACAGACACTCTGTAGAAGAGGGAGGCTGTTCGGGACACCCTTGCTTTGCAGCTAGAGGGTAGCAGGACAGCATCCTCCAGCACCAAAGGAATCCTGGTACACAGCATCAGCAACTAAAGGCACCCCTCCGGCAGCATCTACAGGTGATGAAGATTTCCAGGTTTGCAGGCTCATAGCAACTTCCATAGCAAAGTCCTGCAAGACTGCGGTGAGGAGGTCTCTGACTGCTACTCATTTTTAGCCAGCCTTGGAAAGGGCAATTTTAGAAGCTTCAAACATGTTGTGCCAGTCTTCAAAGGGAACCTACAGAATTACTCAGGTAACTACGCTGTGATGGGCTTGATCTCCGTCCCAGACAAAGCAGGGGAAAAGCTGATCCAAAGTTCACCTGATAAGGAAGGGCACCAAGGGGAACGCAGCTAGAGCTAAGCAATGTGGCTACGGAGAAAACATGCCATGAAATAATCTCCTTTTATTGTCGGATGAAACTATAGCTGTGAGTGACAAATGTTACGGGGACGCTCCTGCAGCAGTCTGCTCAAAAAGCATGATACTGTCACCAAAATGTACCACACTGAGGAGGAAAAGGATGGTTTCCAGAGGCATTCCACAGGGTGTCCAGCACTAATCCCAGCCACCCAAAACATTCATCTCCTGATCCTGAAGTGTAAAATCACTGCCGACAGGACTTGCGGAAGACATGGAGATGGTGAGTGGTAAACAGCAACAAGGACAGCACAGTCATAAAGCCACTGGGAAGGCTGGGGCTGGGCCAATAAAACGTGTTTTAAACAAACTGAAGCCAAGGAGCCAAAAATTAGTGAACAAAAACTCTGTCCACAGCCTGAGGGAGTGTCCCCCACACAGCAAGGACACTGGGAAGGGCTGGGTGGGCACAGGGGACACTGCGCAGAGTTCGGTCCCAGTACAGCGCTGCACCAAACAGGGCAGAGTCCACCCACAGCCCCAGGGAGGGGAGCACAGACCAGGAGCAACAGCTGAAAGGCAGCATTTCACATCAGCCGCCTTCTCCCCCATTTCCCTCCCAAAATGGGTTTTGGCAAAATTGAAATTGCATTGCTCCAGGTTTTTTCCAATGAAATAAAAAAAAAAAAAAAAGAAAATCTTCCTTTTGGGTTAAACAAAACATTTCCTTCTACCTGAAACAAAGCACTCTGCTTCTCTTTCCAGGTCTGTGACAAAAGCAAAAGAAAAGACAGCGCTGCCTGCAAAACAGCGCAGGGGAGTGGGAGATGCCGCACTGTTCGGCCAGCTCCATGAGAGCCAGAGAAGGAAAACAGATAAACCAGTTGTAGCTTCGTAGTTAAGCAATCCACAGGTCCCGGTCCCCACCCTACAAGGTATTTATGGCATTGTGGACAAAACCCAAGAAAGGGCAAAAGAAACCCTTCCAGAAATAAGCTCTGGCATAAAAATTAGCCCCCCTTTGGGAGGTGGGTTCGTGCCTTCTCTGGAGCTCAACAGACAGCTGCTCCTCCCCACTTCAGTGGGCAAAGAGCTCAAGACATTCTTGCTGAAGTCTGATGGGAAAATTCAGCTGAACACTCCCAACCCTGAAAAAAGTCCACTCAGCTGTGGTAACTGTCCTCCTTGCAGTGGTGTAGTGGCATTGCTGTCCCAGTATCCTTACAAAAACCTGGAACTGGATGCAGTATTTTTGTCAGGGAGACTCCAGAGAGGACCCACAGAAATTATTCATGATAGGCAGAACAGTCTCTGTCAGCACGCTCTGCAGAGCTGCCCAGCTTATCAAAAGTAAATTCAGCAAAAATCAATCAATTCACAGGGAGGAAATTCCCAGGCACTACAAGATCCATCATCTTAGCAGAAATTCATTTTCTCCCATGAGACGCAGCCCTGAGCTCTGTCCCCCCCACCTCCCACGAGCGCTGGTTCACCTGTGCCGTTGGCCGTGCCGTTGGCCATGCTGGCATGCTGCGAGCTCTTGGCCTGCTGCCGGTGCCGGCTCCTGGCACTGGGACTTTGCTCTCCGCTCCCCGTGTTTTGCCTGGCCACTCCAGCCGCATGTCGGTGCGTCCTGCAAAGGAAACAACCACAAGAGGTGAGACACACCACTGGCGTCACAAAGAAAACCTTGCTCCTTGCCTTTTTGCCTCTGTCTTGTGCCGCTTGTCCCCCAGCACAGCCATCGGTCTCCCCTGAGAACGACCAGGATGCAGCCATGTGCCTCTGCTCCCCCGGCAGTGCCCTGAACTTCGTGCTGCTTACTCGGACCTGCCAGCCTGTCCACTGGTCCTGGCACCCACCTGCCGGTGGCAGAATCCCATGGAGGAGTAACCTGGGTGACAATGACCTGGCTTTTGTTTGCAGGTGCTCCCGAGGAATGGCTGCAGGCACTCACAGTTGGAAACCTGCGTGCAGCACCAAGCCGGCAGTTTGCTCTGTCCACCCCTGCAATAAAGCTCCCCGGAGAGATCCCATGCCATCACCAGCTCCTACATCGTGGTGGGAACCCGCACCGTGCCTCCCACCCGGCTACAAGCCTTGCATTAAAGCAGGTGAGGAAGGTGCAAGTGTTCACTGCTGCTGTGACGGCCATGGCATCTGGCAAAAGAGGGAACAAGCAGCTGGGAAAGATGGGAGCTTAAATCATGGCACAGGTTGCAACCGGCTCAGATGTGGCTGCTCCATCTCTCAGAGGGTCTTCACTTCGAGCTACGCTGGAGCTCCCTTGCCACTACATGCCTGTGGCCAGGGCAGCCTGACCTCTGTGGGCAGAGCGCCTGCAGCGTCCCCCAAGCAAACTCTCCCCCTCGGACTGCCCTGGGCCCCTGGGGCAGCCCAAAGGCGTTCAAGAAAAGACTGGGTTTTCATGTTGATTAAAAAGCCTGATCTGTTACTGAAAGGGTGGGAGGGGGAATGCTGCCTTCCCACATCCCAGGGGAGCAGAGGCAGAGCCCAGCCACCTCTGCCCAGGATCCCAGGCTGGGGCAGCAACTGCAGAGGGTGAGGACCACAGGGATTAGGAAGTCCGTTTGCTCCAGCCAAGTTCTCCCCTTAAAAGGGCAAAACCCGCAAACTGTCCCCATGTCTCAGGGCTGGAGCTGGGAGGGGACAGCAGCTTGGCAGCGACAGGGCACAGCATCAGTCATGCCACCCTCACCAGCTCCAGCAAGCCCTCAGTTCCTCCCACTCACTCCGAAGCCGCTCTCCTTGGGGAGCAGTTCACGACAGTGGGCAGAGGAAGGGCTGGGATCGGGAGGAGACATGGGAAAGCAGGAGATGGTTGTTGAAAATAGATCAGATAAGAGCCAGGGGCAGAGCAGCCCATGAGCAGGAGCTGCTGTGGCCAGTTTGACCAGCCATGGACCTTCCCAGGAAGGCAGCCCCGCACAGGGGCTCCTTGAGGCACCCCTCAGATGGCGAAATCACCCCAGAAACCCTGGCTACCCCCCCAGGACACCGCTACGTGCTGGGGGTTTGCTTTGGCCACCAGCACCTGGGGACTCAAAGCAGCTGCAGGCGCAGAATGGGCTCCTCTTTCCCCAGCTGGGAGGTGAAGGTCACCCCTTGCTGCCCGTCCACGGGGCTCAGAGGGGCACACCAGCACCACTAACGGGGACCCACCTCCCCACGTTCACCCGTGGCAAGGCCGGGAGGCAGCGCGGCCCCCGGAGCCCTGGCTGGATGGGAGCGGACAGGCAGCACCCCCAGCAGGAGCAGGTCCTGCTGGGAGCAGCCCCCGAGACACGGGACGGATCTGGTCCCTGCCCTCCTCAGCACAGATGAGCTCAGAGCTGCCCAGAGAGTTTTTAGAAACCAAAACAGGATGTTTCCAGGCTGCCAGCCGGCCGCACAGGGTTACCAGTCCTGAATTAGCCGGCCCGCCGCCCAGCCCAGCCCTCCTACGAGTGCTCCCATCTGGGCATTGTCTTTTAATAGACGCGTGGAAACAAACCCCGCGAGGCCACGTGAGAGCGGCGGGGCTGGGAACGCGCTCTTAAAATAGGAGCGGGGAGAAAACAAGTCACAGCGCAGATGGCAACAGCCTCTTGCGGCCACACCGGTAGGACGGAGCGGGGCGCGCAGAGGGCAGCCCACCTCCCAGGTGGCTGGGAAGACTCCCCCCCCACTGTCCCCCATCGGTCAGGGACCTCGGGTGGCTGCCCCATTGCGTGCTCTGCCCCATCGCCCCTCCTGGGCTGGAGGGAGCAGATGATGCTGAAGAGGAAAGTGGCGTCAGCCAGAGGTGACATCAACCTTTCAGCTCCCCCTCCTTGTGCCAAGGCAGAGCCTTCACGCCACAGAGGCCCTGGGCACGAAACCCAGGAACGGCCGCCTCCTCCCACTGCGGTGGCCAAAGGTCCTGGCATGCGACGCCAGCAGAGGTGGCAGCACCAGTCTCGGTCTCACTTGGCACACCAGATCACAAACTGCAGACAAAGAGGAGGGAGGGCAGAGCACACAGCCAGGAGCCAGCACGGGCTGCGGGGGGTCAGGGCACGACCACCGGGAAACACAACCAGCAGAGCCCCAGTGCCACGTGGGCAGTGGGGGCTCAGCTCCCAAAACACGGAGCTAAGGAATTCCACCTGCAAAGGGGGGAGGAGTCAGCCACGTCCCCCTACACCCAGCCCTCACGCCTGCAGTGCTGGGAGCAGAGATGGCACCCGTGTACCACCACCCTGGAGCTGGGGCAGGAGGAACACCCCCTTGCCCCACGGCAGTGGGACGTGCAGCCGAAGAGGCGAGTGGCTCTGAAAACCCCAAACCTGGCTCTGGCACCCGGCTCTGAAACCCCGAACCCAGTTTATCCCTGTTACTCATCCCCTTCCAGCTGACCCAACACCCATCTCATGGCTTGTTCTCCAAGGCCCTGAGCAGCTCACTGAGCCCTCTGTGGTAGCAGGTAGCACACCCGCCGTGCAGCACTGCCTGCCTCTCCCAAGGGTGCAACCGGTGATGGCAGCTCCCTCAGCCTTTCGCTGTTGCTGTATCACACCAGAAGCCACATGCCTGGGGACATCCTGAAGCCACATGTGGGGCTTTGCAGAGCAAGGGGTCTCATGAAGGGAAATAACTTCACCTTGAGTGACCCGGAGGAGCGTCTCCCGCCTGCCCTCAGGGATGCCCATGGCCGTCACTGGCCGAGTGGTGACTTTTCGACATCACACAAGCAGAGAAAGCAAAGCATGCTGCACTGAAGAGATCACTTGAGCTTGCGTCAGCTTGTGACAGGTGACAGCAGCTTCTCATGGCCATACCTAAGTCACAATACCCGACGTGGCTCACCAGCTGGAGCCTCTCCGTAAGGCGAGCAGCAAACCGGGCTACTTTATTCCTTGCTGTCAGAAGAGGCCCCCTTTGGCCACCACAAGACAAACGGGGATTGTGGCAACTCTCCCTGCACCCATGACACCAGCTCTCAGCCGGGAACCTCTGAGCTCTGTTTTCTCTCCACACAGAGGGCTGTGGAATTTCACACCCCGTCACCAAGATTAGCAGCAAATCCCAAGATGACATTTTTTTCAGGAGAAGAAAGAGAAGCCCTGACCAAGCAGTCTCCCTTGAGGGGACAGTGTAGAAATAGCTGAGGAGCAAAGAATGACCCTTTTCTTTCCATCCTGCCTGCAAGTGAGTGTGCCAGCATCCATCACCAAGCCCATGAAAATAAACACGGTTCTGCGTATAAACAAAGCAAACATCAAACAGCATTCCCATGTGCAAAGGACCTGCACTCCACTCCAGAGGAGGCAGATGCCTCCATGGTGGGTATGTACAGCAATGCTCTGCCCCACGTAGCAGTACTACATCAAACTGTGCAGTTACGTCCAGAACAAACCTAAATTCAGGTGAGCGTAGGATGAACTGAAAACTAGCTAGGATGTTTCCCATACCAGAGCAGCCACGGGATTCTTAATGATTGCAAGCACACCTGGAAGGTCTCTGAAGGTCCCCTGTAGAAGTACTGGCCAGGCCTCACCACACTTCTCTCGCACACTCGCAGGTGCGACAACACCAAAAGCAGAAACTACTTTCAGGCAATCGGAAAGCAGTCAGGAATCAGAAGTAAACAGTCACCAGGCTGAACCTCCCAAACCAGAACTTTCTTTGCAGGCTTTCTAGCACCTACTGATAGCTGCTAAGTGGCTGCAAAGTCCAGCTCCTGTCAGGACCCTGAGTACTCTCTCACCCCTTAGGAGGCTTTAACACCTGGACAGCAGTGACCAAGAGGAGCAGCCAAAACAAAAGGGCACAAACTGTGTTCAGCAACCTGCTCCCAATTTCCCATCCCACTCCCTCCTCAGGTAGATGAACACACGATATGGAAGGACAGGGTCACTTTTTAGAGCCAGAAACACTTCTCCCCTTTGCTCATCTCTTGTATGTGCCCAGCAGAAGAAAAAGGAGCAGAAAAGCTCAAGGTGTGGGACTTGTTGCTGAGAGTGCTCCTAAGCCTGAGGGCACGCAGAAGCTCTTATCAGGCAGGCTGCAGGCACCCTCTCTACAGGCAGGCTTCTAACCAGAACATCTGTATAGGCTGCTGGGACACTGCCACGCTCTGGAAATATAAATAGGTGTTAAATTCAACTCCATGTTGACAGTGTGACACGTCTCTCAATAACCACAGCTCCAAAAGGAGCAGCGCTGAGCCACTCCAGCCCAGCGAGAAGGCAAGGAAGGGCACTGTGCCAGGCACAGGATGGCCTGGTGCCCAAGCATCTCATTTCCTTTGGAAGCAGCTGTTTTTTCCCCTGCAGCTCTGCTTCGCCGGCTCTCCCTGGACCTTCGGAAGCGTCCCCCTGTTACCACCACCCAGAGGGGTATTGTGCTTCCCAGCCTGGCCCAGCACCTGGCCAGGGCTGTGCTCGAGGCAAGAGCTGGGGTCTCCGTAATCCCAATTTGAAGGGACACCTGCAGACCAGCCCTTTGCTGGTTTGCCCGGTCCCAGCCTGCTCCACACCTCCCTGGTAGACCATTCCCTCAGCTGCCCATAGAGAACTGGTGGAAACTGCCTGGACCCATCACATGATACTCCTCAAGAAACACTTTTAAAGAGAGGCCTGGGTCTGCTGACTGTATGGCCACCTCCCAGCTCTGCTGTCCTCCGGGAGGTCGGCCAGCCCACCCCTTCTCCACACCTCCTATGGGCTGCTCTGCTGGGGGCTCACTGGGAGATCCCGAGTGGCGTCCACTGCACAAGGATGATTTAGACACTTCTCAACTGCCTCACAACCACAGCAACCTCCCAGTAACAGCCCAACAGGTGCTATCAGAACGGGACCCTTACCTTGGTCTGCTTCCAAAGCAGTTTGTACTGGGAGGCTGGTGTCTGCTCTCCGTGGCGGCAGCCACGCTGCTGGGGGCCCGTCCCGGCACCTGGGACCCTGGATGTGGGGAGAAAAAAAAAAAAAAAAAAGGGGGGTGGAAGAAAATGATTGAGGCACCTACTAGTTCTACCCTCCTTCCTTCCCTCCCTCCTCCCAGAAAGGAGACCCAAAAGCACAACTCCTCTACGTATCACAGGGCAGACACACCAGCACACCCTGCCCTTATGCTGGGGTGCTCTCCTCTCCCACCGCTGTGCAATGGCATAGCCCGTGGGCACAGCACCCCGTGGGTATGAGTGCAGCGCTTAGGGAAGGTGAACGCAGGACTTTGTGGAACTGGCAGCACCAGGAGAGCGGCTGCATTTAAGGCTTCCAGATTCCACAGGCTTCGTCTCCCAGTGAGGGCAAGCAACGTACCAGCCCCTGTCCAGCACGAGCTCTGCTCACTCCCCTGGCAGCCCCGATGGGTCAGACATCACTCCACGTCTCCACATACCCTCCACCATGTGAAGGCCTTTTCTGTGCGGTTCATTAAATAGAGAAGTCGTTTCCCCAGCCCACACAGGACAGCGAGGGAAGGGGCCGAGCTGCACGGGCAGCTGGTGGCGGACCTGGAGAAGGGACGTTCCCATCGCGCCACTGGGGAGGCAGGGCGTGAGCCTGTCGACGTCCCACCACACACTCACTCCCACGGGAGCCCGTGCGCAAGCCCAGAATCGGGGCGGGCAGGGGCCGGAGCCTTACCTGGGAGAGGAGGCGGCTGCTGGCACTCGGACGCTTGCCCAGAGGTGCCGGGGGCCGTGCTCTCAGCACCACTCCTCTCCCTGCCTCGTGCTCAGAGCCTCCGCATGCATGCGGAGACGGGCGGCACTCACCCTCTGTCACGGCACTGCCATTAGGCAGGGTTCCCAGATCAACAGCAGGCCCGTCCAGGAAAATCGTCAGCTCTCCGCCGGAGACAACACTGCCTTTGTTCTCCGTCTGGAGGTCCAGGGTCAGCTGCCTGTTCTCCACTGTGGAAGACGAGGGGACATGGAGAAAGAGACCAAGCAGTCACCGCTCAGGATGTCAGCCATGATGGAAGATGGCTCCACCACCCTGGCTCCCCCATGGGATGGCACGTCAGCCTCCTGGTCCCCTCCTGGCCTCCCCACGCCCCCAAAGGACAACGTGCCCACTCTCTCAGGGTCAGTTGTCCCAGCGAGCACCACCAGCATTGGCCCCACACCTACATGTAGCTATCAGTACCACCAGAGGACACACAGTCAACCCCACCACCAGCTCCCAAGGAAGACCCTCCTTCACCAGCACATTGCTCACAAAGCAGGGTCCCTCGACTGGGGTGGAGCTGCCCCTGGCTGCAATACTGCCGAGACCACCATCGCTTACAGATCCAGAACCTGGGGCTGCAGGGGAGATCTTGGCAGAAAAGCCGAGGGATTTGGCTGGTTTGACATGACACGTAGAGCAAGAAGGGTCCTGCTTGAGGGTGACCACCGGCAGGTGTCTGGGACATGAAGCAGAGTAATGACTACGTGCCCAACGGTGCCTGAAGCCCTGGCCTGCTGCAGAGGAGCAAGCAGCATCTTTCAGAATCAGGGGTATCCTCGTGCCACCTAGAAAACCCAGGCAAGCAGCAAAGGAAAACCCCAGGCACATCCCTCCATCCTTATCCCTGGGTATCAGTTCCACTGAACACAATCAGCACAAAGGGCTGTCCCAAACGCACAGAAATGCTCAGCTGCAGCACCAAACTGCCTTTGCAGAAGCTTCTGGAGTGGGTGGCATGGGCTGGGAGGCTCCTGGAGGCAGCCGCCAGTTCCACTCCCCTCCCGTGTGAGCCAATTTGGCTCCAGCCGCTTAGTGAGACTTTGCCAGTCGCAGCTCAGCGCACAGCTGGACACAGTGGCTTTGCTCAGGGGTAACGGCCCCCAGAACACCACTCACAGTTCTCCCCTCGGGCATGGAGTGAGGGGCTGCAGCAGCAGGGATGAGGAGCCAAAGAGCTCCACGGTGCCGCATGCCAGGGCACCCAGTAACTGCCTCGAGAACCAACGCCTGCCCTCTTTCACCAATACACGTTGGCAGCCACAGCTCCTTGCGCCTCAGGACACCCACCACCCTTCCAGCTCCTCTGAGGCCTCCTGACAGCTCCCTGCTGCACATGGACAGCAGCAAGAGGTGTCCCTGGAAGCCACCAGCACTGCTGGAGCAAGGCACAGCGCGAAAGGGCTGCCTGCGTGCCTCCCACAACCTCCTCTGACCATGCACACAAAAACACCTACTGCAGAGCCACGTCCCCACAAGTGATGGCAGAACACCACAACCCTCGGTGCCCACAGGCAGGCAGGGCTCTCGCACCATCGCAGCAATGCCTGCCAGAGCCGGCAGGACCGAAACACCCAGCTCCCCCACAGAGGGCCAGAAAAATTTGGCTGCGCCAGCCTGGGACACCAGCCCAGACGCTTCCTGACTCATTTGCTCAAATAATATTTTTATTATACACAGATTGCTCATGACACAACGGCACCATTTTTTAGCAACCTGCTTTGTCGCGGTCCACCATGGGGACGGGGTGCGGTACCTGCCAGCGGGAGCAGGAGGAGGATGGGAACACGCTTCCCACGGACACCTCGTCCCATCTCTAGCTCCAGGGTGAGACACGCTGGCAGGGCCCCAGGGTGTGCAACGGCCACCCAAACAACACCTACGGCTCCCAGCTGCCAGCCCAGCCCTTGCACAGCACCAGGGGTGAAGGTGCACAGCCCACGGTGCCGCTGCGCACCAGTCTGGCCATCGCCAGGACCAGAAGGAGCCGCGCAGCTCTTGCACCAGCCCAGAAAGTGGCTCCTGCCCTCCTTCACTGTCTGGAGCTGCTCCTCCCCACAGGGCACCTGCCAGCCTCGCACAACTGGGAAGAGACACAGAGGGGACAGAGAAGGAACAAGGCACTTGCACCACGTGCGCCAGCCCATGGCTGGTAGCCACCCTTCCTCCAAGCCCACCAGTGCTGCCAAGGGGAACCAGGCTCTGAGCAGTCTCTGCCCCGCAGGGCGCTTCATCCCGAAGCCCAGCGCCACAGGGTCTGCCAGACAGGCTGCACTCATGGATCTCGTGAAAGCATCTCAGGTTTTTAGTGCCAAGGAGGCAGGTGTCCCCTCAGTGCCCAGGGTCCAGGCATGGCAGGAGCACGTGCTCACGAGGGCGAAGCATGGAGGTTAGAGCCCAATTCTGTCGCTCCTTACCTGTCCATCATCAGACAAGGGATTGTGCTAAGCCTGGTCTTAACCATCTGCCTGAAGGAGTTGCTCTCAGTTTGCTTCCAAGGGGAAGCAATCTCACAGACAGTTTTAAGAGCCTGAGATGGAAGATGCTACTGAGCACGGCCAAAAACCAGAACAAATCCAGACCCTGTTTCTCCCTGGCTGCTCCAAGCCATAGGTATTTGCATTTTCTCCAAGCCGTGCTGAAGTTGTGTCCGCACGCTCCGGGGGTCCCCTCCATCCCCCTCTGTGAGCGCCCAGCAACCGAGCACACCGCTCTCCCCGTCGGAGCTGCACAAGCCCTCATTGTGCGGGCGCCCAGCCGAGGGGGCGGCAGCGCAGGAGCAAAGACAAGGTGTCTCCAAGCGGAGGATGTGAACATGAACCTCCCAGCCGGCTTCCTTCTCCCCCTCTCCACCCCCTTCAGCTTTTTTTAAAGAAAATAAACACTAGCAGAACCTTCCATTCACTGTCCCAGTCCAGCACGCGGGACGCACAAAGGGACATTGCTGTTGCACCAACAGAGGGTCCCCTGAACGGCTGAGCACAAAGGCTGCCTGTGTCCCGCCGGCAGCCAGAATGTCAGAGGGATTATTATTATTTTGGGAGGGGGTCGGGGGGGTGATTTGGTCCTGAATAAGGTCTCAGTTCAGCTACTTCCAGTGCCCCGCACGCAGCATCAGAGCTCCCATTTACTGGAGGTGAGCTGGAATTCCCACCCAGCCCATTAAGCGGATTTACGGTTCCATGAAGCGAGGCTGGTAGCAGCCAGCGCGATAACGGCCCCGGGCTGAGCCTGAGCCCAAGCCCTCTGGGACCTGCAGGAACCACACGCATCTGACACCCGTGGGCACAAGCAGAGAGCTGCCGTGCGGGAAGGGACTGCCCCTCTGCCTCTTCCCTGGGTTGGGTGGCTCCATCTTCGCACACACAGGCAGGAAGATTTCCAGACAGAGTGCCGGATGGTGCTTCCCACCCTCTCAGCTCCCCAAACCCTCTTCACACAGTTCCATTGGATGCCAAGACCAGTTTCCACTCAAATGCCTCCACACGATGAAAGCCGTATCCACTATCGCCCCTTGAGAGCAGCCCCCTGCAGAGCAGCAGGGACTGCCACTTACGCAAACAGAAGATGCAACCTACTTGGCCCCCATCAGTCCGCAGAAGAATCAAATCGCAGAACCCTGCCCTGAAAGTACCCTGGCACTAGGCAGAAAATAACGTCAGCGGGGCCACTCTCAGCCCCGGTGGGAGCACTGAGCCGTGCTGGCTTCTCCCAGGTCTCGGGGCCCCTGAGCCACCCCAGAGCTCAGGGCTGTTGGGCAGGCAGCACCGCTCGCAGCACCCACCTCCCTGGTGGTGGACAAGTTAAAACTAGCTTAACCTTTGTGCATCCCTGCAGCTGTAGGAATGACTCCATGCTGCGGCTACAGTCCCTCCGGGAAGAAGCAGAGGGAAGTTGGACCTTCCACAGCCATCCCTAAAACAAGGAGGAACCCAGAGTTTAGGGGAAGGAATAATCCCTACTGTCCCAGGTAGAAGTCTCCCCAGGCAGTGGGAAGCTTTGCCCCTGCTGCTGACCCAGTCTCAGTGACCACAGCTTAGAGACAACTGTGTCCCACTCCATTTATCTGCCAGGTAGAACTAGGAGGACCTCAGATTTCCGCTTCTTTCCTCTGAACCACCACAGCCCGGGGAAGGAAGACGAGATGAGAAGAGAGAGTCAAAGAACCCGCTATCTCTGAGCAGGGCAGCTGCCCACCTGCAAAATAGCCCGGTCAGGGCACAGCAGGAGCAGAGCCAGCGGACCCTGCTGGCTTGGGCACAGAGGGCAGCCTCCCATGCAAAGAGAGCCTGGAGGTGACCAGGGCACAGGGACAGTGCTGGTGGTCACAGTCCTATCAGCTCTGCATGACACTCGGGACACGACACCAGAAAGGTGATGTGGGGTAGGCACGGTCCGACCCCCCCAGTGACTTACTGGTTTGGACAACCAGCTGCTACAGAGCCAGCTCAGTGAACAGCCACCTCAGCCAGTCTGCGCATCTGCCTTCACAACTCCTCGCTAAGACCTTTTGCTGCCAGGCCGTGCAGCAGAGCTCCTTTGACAGCGTATCCACGACACGGAGGCAGCTGCAGCTTTCCAGAGGTTTTGGGGGTTTGCTGCTGGCTTCCTGGAGGGTCCGCGAGGCCGCAGCTTCAGCAGCTCTGCCTGGGGCACAGCAGCAGGAAAAGAAAAGGCTCTGTAGGACCTGTAAAACCCTGGCATGTGGTGCCACTCAAGAAACAGGAGCCTGTTGATGTAACTTGCAACCCGAGCAGCGAGCAATAAAAGCGAGGGCTTTCATTTGCAAGCTGCAGCCTGGCTCGCTCCAGCGCTTGCACAGACATCCACTGCTCGGCACACAGGGGGACCAGCAAAAACCAGCGAAGCCCAGTATTGGCTTCCAGTGGCAGACTGTGGCGCGAGGCCGGCCGGGGACGTTCCTTGGGCCTCGCGGGAGGAGCGGGGCGAGGAGCTCCCGGAGCCTGGGAACAAAGAGGTGCCTCTGCAGCAGGCAGCAGCTCGGGGGCCAGGGCAGGGGGCTGTGCCATTGCAAATTAGCTGTTTTACGGGAGCCCTGGGAGCAGCTCCGTGGAAGGCTCCAGCTCATTTTCTGTGATTGAGCCCATTCTTACCCACTTCTCCATCTCCCTGGCCAATCCCCTCCGAAAGCGGGAGGGCGCTGCCTGCCAGAGGAGAGGCCCCGGAGACGCCTGCCAAGGTGGTGGGAAGCACAGCAAGCCCGAAAGCAAGGCTGGACTAGCCCGGAGCAGGAGCTCCTGTCCAACAGCTTGGGCTCTTAGCTTCAGCAAGCTCTCCCCATCTTCCCGGGAGCTCAGGCCTGATCGGGCTCATCGCTGAGTTTTTTTCCAGGCTCTGGACCTCAGAGCTGAGACTCTTCCACCTGAAGCGACGCGCGCTTGGCAGGAGGGCGGACAGAAAGAACAAGGGGAGCTTCAGCGTCTTCCTGGCAGACAGGAGTCCTGCATGCACTGTCATGGACATGAGCGGGGCCGAGAACACCACCCCTACCCAAAAACAGAACAACCAGAACAATTCTTCTGCACCAAGTAGAACAACTACAGGAACACAAACCAAAGGCCACAGCTACACTCACGTATCAGTAATTTACAAAAAACCTCACCAAAACCATAACAAATACAACTAAGCTAGAAAGCAGGTCTGCTGCCCGGCAGGAGCAGCCGCTGGGGAAGGTACACTCCTGCTGAGTGCCTCTCAAGAGGGTAAGAGGATGGCCGGGTCCCAGACAGTGGCAGAGGGCACGCGTTTCAGTGCCTTCCCCAAGGCAGAGGGTCGTGGGCTGCATGAGGACATTACTTGTTTGAATCAGGATGGCTTGAAATCCCAAATGCCGTTTGCATGCCTTTGTGTGACCTGACCCCTTCCCCACGCTGGCAGGCAGAAGGAAAAGACTGCCTTTCTCTCCGCAGGAGAGGAACCCTCTTGAGGAAGGCGTCTCCCAGGCACCCAGGCTCCCATGGGACCTCCGGGGGACCGGCAGCAGTCTCTGACCCACTCAGAGCTGCAGCAAAGGTCTCTGAGTCTGCAGAGAAGAGGAAGGAGCAGATGCCAGCTAGACAAGACAGGCGGACAAGGGCACGTAGCTCGCCCAGGCAGTGCCGGCTGCCCCCAGCCCACAGCAGCACCTTCCCAGCAGGGCAGACTCTGCAGCTTTAAGAGTCCTCCCTCCCAGCCCACAGTGTCAAGGAAAAATCTGACACGTTTTTTCTGGTGGATGTTCACGGACAAGCTAAAACAGCCAGTTGCCTTTTCCATTCATTTTCCACACAGCCCCCTGGGACGCCTGCTAATGAAAGAGCCGATTGTGCCCCTGCAGAGGAGCAGGCAGGTAGGGCGGGAGCAGCAGCGGCTCCAGGAGCCCAGCGCGGCAGGGTATCAGCGCAGCTCGCAAAGAAAAAAAAAAAAAAACTGCAGAGGAGCATGGCCTGGGGAAGAGAACCCCACCGCAGGCTGCCTGACAACAACAGCCCAAGCAACAGGCAACCCAGCCCTGCAGCTACCCAGGGTGGATGTTCAGGTCCTCACAGGCTTTGCAAGATGATGGCGGCAGCAGCAGCACAGCCGCCTGCATTGGCCCTCACTGCCCCAGCAGGACAAGGGGCCACCCAGGACCGTGGCAGGCTGTCCGCCATAGGGAGCACAGCAGGGACACCATCGCGGTTTCATACCCTGCAGTGGGCAGTGCCCAAGGAAGGAGCTCGCCCCAGCCCCTGGCACGGAGGAGAGTCTGAACCAGCCCCACATCTCCCCTCCCCGGGGCACGGGAGGCCCCTCTCCCCACTCAATACCAGGTCGGTCTCTTGCGAGCGGCAGAGCTTTGCTTGAAAAAGACAGAACAAGCCTTTTCCAGCCCTGCACAGCCGCTTGCGTGGCCCAAGCCCTGAATGGCCGCCTTTATGTGGTAGCTACTATCACGAGCCACACTCTGGCGACCCCAAATGGTAGCAAATAGCTGAGGGGGTTGTGTTTCCGTGCAGGCTGCG